TCCTGCTTTCCCGCCCACTCACTTCCATTTTTCTACCTAGAGAGGCAGACTTGGACCCGGGACAAGTTACTTGACCACTCTGTGCCTCTGTTTCCCCGTCTGTAAATTAGGGCTAACAGAGAGCCCATCTTGTAGGAAGAGTAAGATAGTTGATATACGTAAAATATTTAGCACAGTTCTGGGCACCACGTGTGTTGTTCTTATTCAGCAAATATTTATTTTTGTGATGCTAAGCCGGGGATGCAGCAGCAAACAAGACAAGGGCCCAGACCTTGAGATCTCACAGCTCCTGAGGGAGGCAGATGCACGATTCTGTGATTGTGATTCAATATAACAAGGGCTGTGATGGGAAAGCATGGCGGGCTGTGGGAGCCCACAGGAGGGACACCTCATCCAGGAGTTAGAGAAGGAAGTCTTCCTGGAGGAGGTGATATTCCAGCTAGGATCTGGAAGGTGAGTACGACTTAGCTGGTTGCAGGAAGGGGAGGAATAGTGGTCTGGGTTGTCTATCTTTAAAGAAAAATTTAATGCTTTCCTGAAAAAGAAATCCAGTTTAATGGGCTGTAGTAGCAAATAGGACCAAACCAGGTCAAGGGATCCAGGTTTATACCCCCTCTGAGATCCCTGACACAAAAAGTTCTCCGCACAGTGAGGCCGGAACAGGTGCCAGGTGCAGAGTTCCAGCCTGGAGGGGACCCGGACCTACTTCCTCTTCCTTCTGTAGGCGATGGTGGTAACTTGGTACCAGAACCTCCCCAGATGCTTTTGCGGGGAGCACAGTGCCCGGGGAGGCAGGAGGGGAAGCGGTGAAGCTGCCCTCTGCACAGCAGTGTCCGTTCCTGGCTCGCCTGCCCATCCAGTGGGGGTCCTGAGGGCGGGCCTGCCCGGTGCAGTGTCTCAGAACCCTGCTTGTGGACGATCCTGCCGGCCCATCGCCTCCGAGTGGAGGGAAGGGGGTGGGCGGAGCATGGTGGTGCTCACTCCTGTTGTTAAAGCTTGAGTCCCATTGTCTTCAAGGTGCCTGGAGAGGCGGTGCCAGCCCGAGACCTCCCAGGTGCTGTCTGGGCACCCACCGGGCTGGGCTCCTGGTGATGCTGTGTGTTATTCCTCTCCCCACACAGCTACAGTCTCCGCCTGGCATCTCGATGTCCTCCGCCAGCTGCCCCGTACATCACCAGGCAGTGTAGGAATGTCAAGGCCACAGCTGCAGCCCAGTTCCAGGGATCCCTCTTCAAAGAGTAGATGCTTCGCCTGCTCCTTGACAGGTACGCGGAGGGTGGAGCAGCCTCCGGTGGCTCCGGGGGCCGAGGGGCAGGGCTTGGATTTGGGGGTGGGCTGGGCAGGAGAGAAGCGGGTGTGCTAGGTGGGGCAGGGGGCCTTCCTGCAGGGAGGGTATATAGTGGCTGAGAGTGTAGACCCTGGACCATCTGGTTCAAATCCCAGCTCTGCCTGTTACGGGCTGGGGGACCTCAGCAAGTTACTCTGTCTCTCTGAGTCTCAGTTTTCCCATCTGTAAAATGGGGATGACAGTAGTATCTACTTCACAGGACTGTGAGAATTACAAGTGTCAAATGTATGAAAGCACTTAGAACAGTGCTTGGCACAGATAAGCACCAGGTAAGCCTAAGTATTAGCGATCGTTATTGTAATAATAATAATGATGATAGTACTCAGCACTTAATTGAGACCTTCAGCAGCTTTAAGACCAGCAAAGGTTATGGAGTCCCTATTCCCACAGTGTATTTGAAAGTGGAAGTAATACTAATTCATAAAGTATAAAAACTTAGATTTATGTTGAACTAGAAGAGTCTCCTCCCAGATTTTCTGATGGTGAAACCTGAATTCATTCATGGATGCTGGACTTTTCCTCTTGGGGGGCCGGGCTTTGCCAGTGACCTTGAGCAGGCTTGGGTTTCCCTGCTGGTGACGTGGCATGTCTTTTTTCGTTGTGTCCCCGAGACCAGCATCTCAAGCATGATTGGGGCACCGGTTAAAAATACAGACCCCAGGATCCCACTCCAACTCACTAAACGAGCATGCTGGTGAGCAGGGCCTGAGAATCTGCATTCGCAGGTGGCCCCGTGGCTCTGGGACACACTCAAATTCGGGGATGGATGCCTGCTTAACACGGCCAAGGTCACTTGGAATGAGAACGCAGCTGTTTAAGGCAAGATGGGCTGAATTCCGAAGCTCTGGGGCCTTTTGTGCTGGCCTTCCTCGCTCCCGCCTCTCTTCTCCTTGATGGCTCGCTCACTCCTCTCTCCCACAGCAGGTGGAGTTTCTGGGATGGGCCTTATTTCTCTGGGGGTTCGCTCAGGAGGGGAGTGGTAATAAAACCCACTTTCCCTAGAGAGTTTGTGCTGTGCAGCTGGCACTGAGCCCACCTCCTGGGCACCAGCTCCTGAGAGGGGAGGTAAGCCCAAGTCCGGAGTGCAGTGGAGCAACGTTGCCATGGATGCTGCAGTAGTCAGGACTGGACGGCCCAGGAGGCCATCCCCCCTCCCACTTTACAGCTGGAAGAATTGGGTCCTGGAGAGGAGGCTTGGCTAGAGTCTTCTGGAGAGTGGCAGGCAGAGCCAGGACGTGCAGTTCCCCACTCTGGGTCCCGTGCGTGTCCTGGGATCATCCTTTCGGCAGCTGCGTGGGCTTTCATGCTGATGGGCTGGCAGGGTGTGGCTTCCAGCTCAGAGCAGGTGTTCTTTGCAGCCTGAGGGAGAGGCGGGTGCAGCTGGACTGATTCCTGCCCAGACCCGGGTGTTTCTGTCGGCCACTGCAGTGTCAGCCGTAGGCATGCCTTGCAGATTCAGGCCCTCCCCTGGGACCCGTGCTCAACCCTAGATGAATTCTTTTCCCTTAGTTTCAAATGTGCGCAGCTTCCCAAGCTGGGTGCTCAGATGAATAGAGGCACAGTTTCATTTGTATCTGCAGCTCACAGCTTCTGTTCACTCACCAACAGTGAATGTTCAGAACTCAACAGTTTACTTTCAAAGTGACTGAAAATTGCTCCTTAAAATCTTATTTAACTTTTTCCCTAATTTTAAAATCTGTATGTATAATAAGTATGTGCTACTTATTATTTCAAAAAATGACTTTTTTCTTTGTTTTTTTTAAACACCTTATACTATTTGTCTTAGTCTGCTTGGGCTGCCATAGTAAAATACCACAGACTGGGGGGTTTAAGCAACAGACATTTACTTCTTATGGTTCTGGAGGCTGGAAGCCCAAGATCGGGGTGCCAGCATTGTGGGGTTCTGGTGAGAGCTCTCTTTCTGGCTTGCAGATGCTGCCTTCTAGCTGTGTCCTCACATGGCAAAGGGAGGAGGCTCTGGTGTCCTTTCTTATAAGGGCACTAATCCCATCATGAGGGCCCCAACCCACATGACCTCATTTAAGCCCAATCACTTCCCAAAGGCCCCATCTCCAAACACTATCATTTTGGGGGTTAGAGTACAATTGTGGTGGGGAACACAATTCAGTCCACAGCACTGTTTAACACAGTTCCAAAATGATGTTTTGAGATGCCACGGCAAAGGATTTTAGCACCGGAAGAGATGTGTCGGCAGGTACCCTCCCTTTACAGAGAAGAAAACTGAGACACAGAGGGGCAAGTGACAGCCCTGGGACCAGCTTTTTGACGCCCAGATGGATGATGGATTTTAAGTGCTCTGTGCCCACTGTACATGCTCTGGGGTTTGTTCTGAGGAGAGGATGACATCCTCAAAGCACCCAGGACTGCCATTCATCCTGCTGCCCTTGCCGGGGTAGAGGCTCTGTGGCCAGCTTACTGGACAGTCTGACCCAAGGGTGGGACCAACACAGAGGAGCTTGGCTTTTCTCCAGCACCTGCCTTCCACTGCCTTCCTTTTCTGTGCTCTCATGACGTCTCGGGCAAAGCCCAGAGCTCTCTGTTCACTTTTAGGTATAACAAAGTGCCACGTTGCCTAGTCCAGCCTGAAACTCCCATTGTACATCCTATTTTGCCTCTGTCTTTTTCCCATCCTAAGGGGCCAGCTGGACTTCTGCCCTAGGGTCTAGGAGGGGAGGTCCAGGGCAGGGACTGGCACCTCTCGCTGGTCTGGCCATTGCCATGATCCTCCTCTTGGCTGTCACTGCTTCTTTGGCTAAGACTGGCCGGCCTTGGGGCAGACTTCCCGGTGCTGGCCCTCCCACAGGGTCGCAGGAGTGGGGTGTGTGGAGGGTCTCCGAGATAGGAGATCGCCCCTCTGGCTCAGCCTCTGCCGACCTCCCCTCAGCTCCAGTCCCAGTAGTCCAGCCACAGCGCCTGCTGCTGGGGTCTCCTTCCTGGAGGGCTGCCTCTCGGGTGGGGGGCTGGCAAGATGGCTTCTTTTTTGGATCTCACCCCATGACCCACAGGGGGCTCACATATACTAGCCACACCAAACCAGGGGAATGCAGAGCGCTCCACGCTGGCCCGTCTCTACGTCCTTCTCTCGCTGCTGCTTCTGCTTCGATGGGCGGGGCACGTTGCAGGCCTCCACCGGGCACGAGGCCCCCTCTCTCAAAGGCACCCTGCTCCGCTGCAAGCAGCTCTTTCCAGCCCCATCAAGAGGTCTTGAGGGGTTAGAACTGACATAGTGTAGTGGTTAAGAGCACACTTTCTAGAGTTGAATCCCGGCTCCAGTAATCCTGGCAGGAACTTCACTTCTCTGTGTCTCAATTCGTCCGTCTGTAAAGTGGGTTAATAGTGATAATAATACCGTACTATACCATTTTATACAAAGGACTTGAGCATCTGTGGAGTTTGGTATCCATGGGGGTCCTGAAACCAATCCCCCTGTGGATAGTGAGGAATGACTGTACCTCTCTCACGGGAATATTGTCAAGATTGCGTAGGTTAGTACAGTAAGTCCCCTACGTGTGAACCTTCAAGTTTCGAACTTTCAAAGATGGGAACGTGCGTTTGCATGTCCAGTCACGTAAGTTAGTTCACGTGTGTGGCGTACGTTGTCACGTGCGTGCATCCTCTGTAAGTGGCTGTGCTTTTGTGAACTTTACTGAACAGACTGTATAGAGGACAGTAGTACCCCTACTGCTGACCATCCTTCAGCTCTACCATGTCCCACCTCCTCCCCCTCCTCCAGTCAGTAACTCTTGCCTGTTCACTTGATACCAGCCCCTGTAATGCCAGCTGTTATACTGTACTATTGTACTTTCCAAGGTACTGTACTGTGAGATTAAAAATGTTGTATTTTTTGTGTGTTTGTTTTTTATGTATTATTTTTGTGTGAAAAGTATTATCAACCCATTACAGTGCAGTACTATATAGCCGATTGTGTTAGTTGGGTACCTAGGCTAACTTTGTCGGACTTAGGAACAAATTGGACTTACGAACTCGCTCTTGGAACGGAACTCGTTTGTATGTAGGGGACTTACTGTACATGAGAAGCACTTAGGAAAGTGCCTGGTATGTAGTATTGAATAACTCTTCCATAGGTCAGCTCTGCTATTATTATTCTTCTCACTGACTTATTATATTAGTAGTAGTTGTAGTAATAATAATAGTAATAGCAGATGTTAGTGGTAGTAGTAATAGTAATGATGACCAGGTCCACTGGGCGAGAGAACTGAGCCCCTGAACTTGGCCCAGCGCAATTCCAGGCTCATATTCAACCCAGTGCAGCAAATGTCATTAAATAGTCACTCATGTGCCTGGCTGTGTGCCAGCTACTGTGACTGGGGTTTCTTGTTGGACGCATGTGAGCTAAGCTGCTCCCTCGGAACAGACAGCACACACAGGCTCTGGAGGGGGCCTGACCCGGGTTCAAGTCCCACCTCTACTGCTGGTCATCAGCCTGACCTTGTAAAAGTTTCTTCTCCCCTCTGGGCCTCTGTCTCTCCCATTTGAAATGGGGATCTGTGTCACCTGCCACAAGGGTCATTTTGAGTATTAGCATGAAATGAAGTGATAATGTAATTACTTTGGAAAACTGTCTGGCAGTATCTACTGAAGCTGCACCTATGCATTCCCCAGGGCCCAACAGTTACAGTGCTAGGGATACACTCAGCAGAAATGCATACACGTGTGCACCACATGTTCATATGTTATATATGCACACCCTACTGTCTAGAGTTTCCTTCCACTCGGCATAAACACATACATGTAGGCACTGTATGCGTCTTCTAGACATACATAAGAACATTCTAGCGGCATTACTCATGGTGGCCCCAAACTAGAAACTACCCAGTTGTGCACGGGCAGGGGACTAGGCAGATGAAAGTGG